CTTTTTTAGATTTTAAAAGGTGAGGTATGATCCACGTATAGGGAAATGCACAGATCTTAAGCATACTTCAATGTGTTTTGCAAAACGCATATGTTTAACCTACACCACTATCAAGATATAAAACATTCCCGTCACCCCAAAAGTACCCTTGCCAGCTATCAACCCCACTCCTGCTGGAACCAGCAATTGATCTGATTTCTATCACTATAAATTACTATGTCTCTACATGGAAGAGTGGAGCAGATGATCTCTGAGTTGATTTTCTATCCGGTGTCCTATGAATTTCTCAAAAAGGATTCTTTGAAGTGTGTATGCGTAAAAGCAATATCATGCTTGTTGCAGATGGTATTTGAAATAGCCAAAAGTAAATGATAAGAAAAATCCTATATCATTCCTCCATTGACGATAACTTTTTTGGTTAATACTATGGAGTATTTCCTTATAGTATTTTTCCATATCTCTCTACACACATATGTATACAATTATAAATTTTCATTTTAAAACTGAAAATTGCAAACATAAAGAAACTTATAAAGAGTATAACATACCTAGGATATATTCTCTATCCAGATTAATATGTGCTAATAGTTTTCAAATTTTCTTGCGATTTTTACTTTTCAAAAATAAAAGACTGCAGGTAAATTATTTATAGATAAATTAATTTAATTCTTGGTATGTTAAAAATATTTGTCTTCCTTGCCAGAGATCACCAAATCCTGGTATCAGTGTGAATCAACTTGCATATTTTTATACTTTTACACAAATATTTACTCACAAATACACAATAATAGAAGGTATGTAGTATTACTTTGTGTATTATCAAATGCACATAGGGGTGCCTGGATGGCTCAGTGGATTGAGCATCTGATTCTTGATTTCAATTCAGGTCATGAACCCAGGGTCACAGGATTAAGCCTTGTGTCAGGCTCTGCACTAGGCATGGAGCCGGCTTGGGATTCTCTCTCTCTTTCTCTCCCCTTTCCCCTCTCTTCTCTCTCTGTGTCAAATAAAAAACATTAAAAAATATTTTTAAATATTTATTTATTTTTGAGAGACCAGTGAGAGCACTATTTGGGTAGGGTTGGAGAGAGAAGAAAACACAGAATCTGAAGCAGACTCCAGGCTCTGAGCTGTCAGCACAAAGCCTGATGCAGGGCTTGACCTTGCAGACTGTAAGATCATGAGCTGAGCCGAAGTCGGATGCTTAACCTACTGAGCTACCCAGCACCCCAAAATTAAAAAAAGTAAAATGCACATAAACAGTAATTTTGTTTTACCTGTTTTTAGCCACCCACTGATTATTACTATAAATTTGTAGTCAATATTTACTTTTATTTGCCTTGTTTTTACCATTTTCCTTGGCTTACAATTGTTTCCTGCACCTTACTCTTTCCTCTGGGCTCAGTTTTCTTCTTAGTGTTATGCATCCTTTAGTAGCTTTTAAAGAAAGGGTATGTGAGTAGCAAACTTTTCTTCCTACAAGTGGCAGTTATTATCTTCTTAAATGATAGTGAAACTAGTAGAGAACTCTACGCTGATAATTGTTTTTATCTACGTTTTGAAATCTCAGAATTATTCCACTATCTTCTGAATTAAATTCTTGATGTTGGGAAGGTTAACTCTCCTTTCCCTCTAATTTTTCACTTTTTTTTCTCACTGTCTCTGCTGTCATGCAATGCCTGTATGTGGGTTTATTTTAAGTCTGTCCTGCTTGGGACTTATTATTCTTCCTTGAACTTAAAACTCATGACTTTTATCAATTCTGATAAATACTCAGCCATCATCTTTCAGACACTATCAGATACTCCTTTGTACTGAGCACAAACGTCTTGGCCTTCTTCCAGCCTTCGTGTCTCTTTATATGTCATTCATATCATCATCTGCCTGTTTGCTTTTTCAAATGGTTCTTAATTTTTCAGAGTGTTGCTCTTTTCTTACAGTTTTATATCTACCTTTTATCTTTTTTTGTCATTTAAGTGTACTTATTTTATAAGATCTTCAGAATTTTCTACTCTAAAATTATCATAGCACTAGTCATCCTGTAAGTTTCCCCACCGATTCTCATTCATGGTGGGTCATTTCCTTTGTGTGGTTTATAGGTTTTTAAATTGTGAATTCATCTTCAGAGAATTTTTCTTCTTTTGTAAGAATTCCAAGAGATAGGTTCACATTTCAATGTGTTATCGATAGCAGGGATAGTACTGCCTATAGTCAACTATTAAATTAATTTCTCAGTCTGTGTTTTTCTGTGTGACTTTGGATGGCATAAATTTGTGTTTCAAATTCATGGTGTATTTGTGTTTTTTACTTGTCATAGGAGCCTTTTTCCTTCCCCACGTGGTACCCTTGGGCTGACACAGGGCACCTTGTTAACTTCTTGAGCTGGAAATTCCAGGTTTATTTAGGTAGAGTTACCAGTTCTAATTTCTTACCTTGAGCGGCTCAAAGTCCTAGGTGGGCATTAGGAAGCAAGGATCTAGCCATGGGTCTATTTCTGCATTGACAACCAATCTGTAGCCCTTAGGGCTACTGTGTCTTCAGCTCACCACATTATTGCTTTGTATTTGAAATTCCTCTCTATATCTGGCACCTTTGTTTTCATGTCAGTTGAGCTAGGTATTTAAACATTTTTTTTTGTTATAATTTACTTCTCATTTCTAAACATTTGTACTAGTAGACATTCTGTATTATCCCACCTTTCCAATTTACTTGTTGCTACTGACAAGCTACCCCAAAACTTCGTGGCTAATGCATCATGGTTTGTTATTTTTCATGGTTCTATAGTTTGGCCTTGGCTCAGCTGGGCAGTTTATTTGCTCCAGGTGGTCTCCATTGGGGGCAGAACATCCAAAATGGCCTCTCAGTAAGCAAGGATCCAGAGTCTTTCTCCATGTGGCCATCCTCATTCTATAGTAGTGTTTGAGCTTCTTACAGGATGGTTGGATTCCAAGAGCAAGAATTCAGAGTGTAAAAGTGAAAGTTATAAGCCCTCTTAAAATACACCTTGGTCGCCAGCAAACTCAGCCTGCCATGTTTCTCTAGAAGCAAAGGTTCAGATTCTTTAACTACCTTTACATGACCTCAAATACCTGTTGAAAGCTTATTTTTATGTTGGCAGAGTGTTCTATTGATTTGCTGAGTCATTCCCCTATTGTCATTATGATAGTCCTGATTCTTTACAATTATAAATTACACAACACGAAAATATTCTTGCATCATATTATGGAACTCTGTAATTCTAATTCGATTTCACTGTATTTCTTTAATTTCCTTGAATGTGTGATACACAGAACTAAAAGTTCCTTCTTTCTTTTGAACTGCCACATAACCTCTACAAATTCAGCTGTCTAAATATTTCTGTGAGAATTACTGAAGTTCTTCAGGTCATACTGTTCTCTATGACAACTGTGTTCAGAAACTCACTACTGTTTAAGGAGCAGTATGGTGTCATCAAATAACTTTGTCTTGGGAGTATCTGAACTTCCATTGATCATTCAAGTGACCCTGTGCAAGTCACTTCTCCTTTCTGGAATTGAGTTTCCTTAAACTAATATTGAACTTGAAGTTTTGACAACTTACTGGTTTGGGTAAAGATACTGATTCATTTTCATGGTCAAGGAAAATATTTTGACATTATCAAGGAAAACACTGATCTGGATACTTTATTAGATTTTGATCATAAAGGAAAATAGTAGTGTCTGTAAGAAAAATTCTGGAAAGAAGTCTATAGTTTGTTGGCAACAAAGGGGCAAAAGTTAAGGCAACACTGAGGAACCTGCATTTAAATTGTTCAGGTTTAGCCTCACTTCATTATTTTATAATGGAAATTTCTCTACTGTATCATTTCTTCAACCTAACAGGATAATTTTAAATACATGAGCAAGGTTTAGAAAAAGGCGAAATGCTTCTAAGACCATATTTGTATGAGTTTTATTCTTTTTATCAGAGCTATACTATACATGTATAGGTAATACGTTTGTATTACACAAACACTATTATATTTAGTTTTAAATGATGTTCAAGACCATAATGGGAAGGACAAGTGCCTACTTTCATATATTATTCTGCTGTGATGCTGGAGCCCAAGTCTGGTGCAACATGGTCTTTTGGGAGAGAGCGGAGACCTACCAAGAAGATGCTGGGGAGTGCAGGATGATGCTAAGGGGCAATGGTGTTAACACAATTGTGCCTTATGCTGGATGACCCACAATCCATCTATTTCATGGTTGTTTTTTTTTTCACAATTAGTATTTTTAGCTAGGAATCAAAATACCAAGCATGACTTCTCTCATTCTTTTCACCAGCCCTCAAGATATGGAAAAGGGTTACAGACTGCTCATCATTTTAGATAAATTTCAGTCTCTGAGGAGAGATTAGAATGGTGGTTTGGAAAAGCTCCTAAACACAAAATTGTCCCAGACTATGATTTCTTGGGGAGTCCCCTAGAGCTCATTAAACTCAACAAACTCTGTGTAGACACATGGGTCCACAGGTAGCCATGTGACAGAAGAGGACCCAAGTCAGGCTTTTTTCTGTCCACACTCAAGTTCCTTTCCGCATTCTCCAGAGAGAGATATTTAGTGTTATGCTTAAAAACTATTACTTAGTGTTAGTTGTTAAAAACAACTCAGCAGGTAGCTTCTGGGAAAGCCATGTTTCAGAATCAGCTAGGGGTTGCTGAAATAACTTGATCCGGCCAGGAGGCCAGGAGGTTAAATGGATGGAAGTATTTTTTTCTTGTTTTCAAACTCAGAAAACCAGGGAACTGAACATTTGAATATTTTGTGGCTTATCTTTTTACCCTCGAAGCATGGTGAGCTTTATGGGGTTATCCTTTCTCCTTCCACGGTGTTACTTGGCGTGAGGATTTTTAAAGTATAGCCTGAGCCACACTGTGGGACTTGGCAGAACCAAGGGAAATCCAATATACCATTTACAACACTTCCCATGGCTGGTTTAATCAATTAAAAACCCCACTACAGGGGCAACTTACCTATTAGTTAATCTTCTTGGTGACTCTCTGTTGGGTCATTTACACTGTCAACCTGACTATTCATTTCAACTGTAACCAGAAAGGAAAACAAAAAAGGTTAAATATTTATTAAACCCAAATCTCTTGAACCCATTAAGATGGTCTGTGAATCATTACATTCCTACTCTCCTGTCTTGTACCTCTTTTCATTTCATTTTCATTCACTCCAGATTTGGGGAATAATTCTTATAGATTTTTGCTGGCAGGGGCCAGGGAGGGCAGAATTGCCTCTTACTGAACAATAGGAGCTGAGCTGTTGTTTTATACCAGATTTTTGGGTTGACATTTTGGGTGCATTTATTACCATCCTGAGGTAAATTCAAAGGCCTTAATAGATGTCTAAGAAAATAAAAAGAAAACAGAGCAAAACAGATCATTGACATGCAGAGAGGTGAGCAGCTCTCACTAAAATGGCAATGTCAGTAGGCCTGTTTGGTTTGCTGTTTTCAAGTCTGAATTTTGAAACAGACCCTGTAAACTTGCCAACGGGTGCAGCAGCAGATACCATGCAATAGAAAAGCAGAACATCTAACCAGATAGCACAGCAATGGTAAAATGTGTGCTTTTACTGTACTGTGTGCATTGTTCTGTGAGCATTTGCATAAAAAGAGAATGCGTAATCAAAGACATTGTCCAGAAGTATTCCAGAGCAGGCAGGCATAGAAGTTGCTCCGGAAAATTTCAAAAGTCAGTAGGTTTAATTATATGGATATTTTTAAAGCATCAGAGCCCATATTATAAACAGAGAGACAATATACAAATGACAATGGCCAGACCATCTATAACAATATAACTGACTAAAAACCTCTGCAGCAACCAGCCTGGGCAATCCAGCTATAGCTTAGAATGGTCAGGACTTGGACAGTGACTGCCAGCTCCACCATATTCTGGGCCAATATTCGAACACAAACCAAACAAGGAAAGCCAACCAATCACCCACTTCTAGGTAGCTCAAATCCAGTTGCCCCATGCCAACAATCTCCAGTCAGAGGATGCTTGGAATCTTCTCTTTTGATAACAATAAAGGTTTCCCACTTCCCTGCCTGCCTTTGAATCAAACAACACCAGTGATAATGGCACTGTTATAGTAAGCTGAATAAGTAACATTTGTTCTTCTTGGGTAGTCTTCATTTACTGGCACAATAAATCAACAACCCAAAGCTCTTTTTCTCAAACAGGAAAACTTGATTAAATTAAAATAGTGGCAGATGCTGGTTTTCACACTCAAAAGAGGCTTGAAAGAGGAAATAATATTGAAGGGCATACCAACCAACTCTCCCTTAAAGAGGAAGGTTTTAAAAGCTGGTCTCTGTTCCACATGCAAACTATCATGGGTCTCTAATGATGTGTGAGCTTACTCTAAATCCCAGATATACACTGGCCAGATGCAGCAATGCTACCTATATAAGGAGAATAATACATGTACTTTCTATTCTGGTCTGCAAAATTATTGTAAGGTTGCCCATCGCAGTGAGGTAGTGTGCTGAATAAAATATAGGAGAGCATTCTTGCTCTGTTTCTTCCTCCAACCCAACGGTTACTGGTTCTAAAACCTATTAACAAATGTTAATATAAAAAGCATCCCATGATCAAATAAGTTTGGGAAAAGCAACATTAATATATTTCTTTACAACTGAGCCTTCTGAGAGTCTGCAATATGCATGACGAATCTTTAAGTGAGAGGTAAAGCTTAGTATTTTTCACATTTATTTCCCTTTTATTCAATAAGCGTTGCATGGGTCTGCTGTTTTTCAGAACATGTTTTGTAAAGAACTAGTAAAGAACCATGTCTATAATGTCACAACTAGGCTGTGGCAGGTTTCATTCAACTGAGCATGACTAACATGTGGTAGCCTTTAATGGATCTGAGGTTGAAAAACATTCTCTTAGGTAATGCATACCTATGAGTGAAAAAAAACCTAGTTTGTATGGAAGGGCTTATAATTAAGGGAGGAAATTCAGGTGATGAAAAGCTTATAGTAGGGTGTAATGCCTAGTGTAGAAAACTCTATTTAAAACCACTAAGTAATTTCTACCAGTGGCTGAATTTTTCCTAAGGTCATTATCAGCTCAAAGCAATTTGCTTTTTTCCTTTGGTTAAAATGACCCAAATGGCAAGATATATATAAACGTTGATCATCAACCAATTCTGGTTCTTCTAAGCTCTGTGGGCCTGTGGAATCAAATATTTATTAAATCATATATTCCTAAATAATTGTTTTTCTAATGCAAGTAATATTTCAAAGTGTTCCCAGCATCGTTGTACAGGGGCAAAGGTACATTCATATTCCTGAGGTTCAGAGTATTTAGATGCCTTCAAAATGAGATGTGAATAAAGAAATATTTTTGTAAACTGATTTCTAAGGTGCTTTTAAAGATTCATGATGTTTTTGGCCAAGCCATCTGAAGTAATACAGTGAGGTAAGGTGTTGAAAGTCCAAGATAACCTTAGCTCAAAGGGGCTCTCCTGAATCCCTGTAGAACAGGGATAACTTTGGGCAAGTATTTTTTGTGTAAGTAAGGGTATTCCTGTAAAGTTCACCACCTGGACTTCAGTCCAGTTACCCTTGGAATTACCCCCTATGGCTCCTGTATTATGAGCTATGATGAAACTGAGGCACGTACTGTTCTAAAACAGCTAGCATCAGTTTTATTGTAAGTCTCACAATTTTATTAATTCCTAGTAGAACATGGTTTTTGAACTTTACCTTGTTCTAACTGAATATGTTGCTTCATAACATAGATGGCTCCCTTAATCCTAGATTACACACAGAAAATGTGTCAGATTTGTAGTCTGCATGCGCTCAAATAGCTCAGAACTTTACCATCAGGACTTGGAGAGTTTTCTGTGTTGCCAGAGCCTTCGTTTTGCACAGGAACACTAGGTGTATCCTTGCCTTGAGCTGGAAGAAAGAAGATAGTCCTTGATTAATAGAGAATTAGAACAGCCTGATGGCCAATTGTTCTGTTACCCTCCATTGCCCTCTTAAATTTAAAAATACTCCTGGGATTCAATTTCTTTTGCAGGAAAGGTTAAGGGAGGAAATAGTGGGTTGAGTTGCTTGAATTCTTTAGTGCTGTCCTCTAAATTCTCTTTAATTTGTGACATAATCGCGTACATACATAACACAGTTTTTCAAATTAAAAATCTGGTAGCATGAAAGCAGGGAAACTTGGTTTAATCAGAACAACCTACAATTTAAATTTAGGGAAATGTGTGCGTGTGTGTGTGTGTGTGTGTGTGTGTGAATTTATGTAGCTTAAACTTTGAAGAGGGGGGGAAAAACTTGTTTTGCCTTAGGCATGCCTGAAAGCTGGAAGATTCATTCTCTTGGCAGTGAGGTTTTTTGTTTAAACACAAAATGAATGGCCTAGATGCTTTCCTAAGAGACATTCTCAGATGCTGCCATTTTGAACTGCTGAGAATCGTCTTTAGTTAATTTTTGTGGTGATTGATCTCTATTTTGCACAGCTTCATAGGGCATGCATCCATTTGGCTGTGGCTAAAGCTATATAACATGCTTAAATATAGTAGTAAGTGAAGAAATTTTCCGGATAGTCTAAAGGACAATAATATCTCACCTCTTAGTTAAATATCTATTATGTTTTCACAACTTGAAGACCAACAGCAGTTAGAAATACAGATACAGATAAAGGTCTGGAAATCAATAATTTAAAAATTTTTTATTATCTAGATACTTTTTTAAAGCAGAAAGCTGAGTTCATTTTCATTACATGAGTACTTATGGAGCTCAGGGTATGTTAAATTTGGTGTGCCTGTTGGTGAGGATGAATCAAGGATGGTGAAGATATAGTTTATAATCTCTTCCGAGGAAGGAATCTTCAAGGATAGAACTTTCATTCTTGGTAATGTTTTACTGAACTTGACAATCATGAAGTATGATTCAAAGGTAACCAATCTCTGAGCCTTGGTGGATGGGTGGTAGGGAGGTTAGTACTTCAAGACATATAAGACAAGCAGAGTGAGGGAAGGTGAAGAAAGCCATTTTAGATTTGAAGTCTGAAGTGCAGGGTCATATAAGGAGAGATGCCAAACAACCTTTTGCATCCAGTCCTGAGGGAGAGAATTGTGATTAGACATGTGGATATCTGGGAGATGTCAATGTAGAAGTAACATTGATGAAATGAGGGTAGATAAAAGGAGTCAGGAAAAGGACAACAGAAGAAAAAAATGACTGATAGATCCCAAGCCTTCAATATCAAAGTAACTGCCCATAACTTGTTTCATTTGTTCCTGAGGATGAGGTTGGGAAAGGGAAAACAACACTTGAACCTTCCAGCTGGACTTAAAAGCATATCATATCCTTTCTAATGCTACCAATTCTGGAAAGTGGGCAATTTTCAATTTCCCATCAACACATTCCTTTAGACACAATTACAGAAGAAATCACTGATGGATCTCTCTAAGCTGAGAGTAGGAAATCTTGGTTAATTACGCTTCAAAATAGAATAAGGAAAAAAGTGAAAATATTTGACATTATATAAACATAATAAACTTTTGGGTGGAAAAAATACCATAAGAAATACTTAGAAGGAAAATACTGTAAATTGAGGAAAAACATTTATACATTTTATCATAGACAAAGAGTTAATATCTTTAACATATAAAGTCCTTCTAAAAATAGAGATTAAGAAGATCAAAAACTAAGTAGAAATTTAAGCAAGAAATTAAACAGTTCATAGAAAAAAATAAAAATGGCCTCTAGTCATGTGAAAAGGTGGTTCACTTTGCTCATAATGAAAGAAATGTAAATTAAAATTACACTGAGAAAGGGATTTCAACCTAACGTGAATTACCATGATGTGGACTAACCCTCCTACCAACAACAGCTAGAGTCACTGGAGAAATTATTTAAGAGACTATTTTCACTCACTAGAGATGCATCAATGCACCACAAGCTCGAGGAGGTATAAAATAATGAGCCTGACATTTCACCTGTGCCATGAAGTTGAACAGAGCCTCCAGATAGCTTTTGAGGCTTGGGGGAGGGACAAAGCTTAGAGATCAAGGCTAACCAAGGAAGAGGTGCCTAGAAAAGTACCTCAAGTTTTCTGTGGAGCCACCTGAAGGGTTATATTCTGGGGACAGTGATAAACTTGATATAGACCAGCTCTTAAAAAACTAAAGTCCAGGGGCACCTGGGTGACTCAGTCGGCTAAGTGTTGGACTCTTGGTTTTGGCTCAAGTCATGATCTCACAATTTGTGAGACTGAGCTCCACATTGGGCTCCATGCTGTCAGGATTCTCTCTGTCTGCCCTTTTCCCCTCAAAATGAATAAGTAAACTTAAAAAAACCTGAAGTCCAACTTTTAATCAATTCAGTCCTGATTGTATTATAGTGCTCTACTTAATCCTACTGACCTGTCAGAAACAAAAGCAAAAATAAATTTTTTCTGAAATGAGATAAAACCACCCAGAGCCTCAAGCTATCACTACAATTATTTACATAGTATCCAGCATTCAATAAAAAATTACCTGGCATTCCAGAAGAACAAAAACAAACAAGAGAATAGGACAACATATAGAGACATGTTAGAGGTCTAGATCCTGTAGACACAATTGTAAAATAGTGATTAATGCGTTTAAGAATTAGATGCCAGGGGTGTCTACGTGGCTTAGTCAGTTAAGTGTGTGACTCTTGACTTCAGCTCAGATCATGATCTCACAGCTCATGAGATCAAGCCTCCAATGGGCCCTGTGCTGACAGTGTGGAGCCTACTTGAGATTCTTTCTCTTGCTCTCTCTCTGCTTCTTTCCCCCATCTCTCAAAATAAACATTTTTTAAAAAAAGAATCAGGTCTCAATTTGGAGAATTTCCATGGCAAAGAAGTTTATAAGATAACTAGACATTATTTAACATGTCAGGTGTAAATTCTAGAACTGAAAAATATACTATAATTGAAGTTATTAAATCAGTGGGTGAATTTGGTAGCCATTAGACACAGCTAGAGAAGGGATTAAAAAACTGAAAGCTAGGTTAGCAGAAAATATAAAATATAAAGTACAGATGAAAAATACAGAAAAGAGTTAGTAGATATATGCGATGGGGTCTATCCTATGTGTAATGTGACAAAAGCAATATTTAAGATATGATGGCTAATTTCCCCACATTAATGGAAGATATCAAACCACTGTTTTAAAAGTGCTATGATCTCCAAGCAGAATTAATGCAAAGCAAATCTCAGGTCAGTAAAACTGCTGAAAACCAAAACTAAAGAAAAAATATGAAATTATCCAGTGTATAAGGGCCATTGACATCAAAATAGCAACAATAGGACTTACAAGATGACTTCTCAGCCAAAATAATGGAAGACAAAAACAATGCAATGACAACTTCACAGTGCTAAACAAAAGGTCACCAGTGCAAAATTTCATGCCAAAACAAGTTCTTTCAAATTTGAATTTGAAGCAAAACAATTTCAGGGGGAAAATGGAATTCATTCAGTGACAAAAAGGGTAGACCTACACTGAAGGAAAAGTTTTCACCATACTCAAAAAATTCCAGGTGGATTTTAGAACTAAGTGTGAAAAGTAACTTGGAAAAAGACCTTCACATCATTAGGCAAAAATTTCTAACACAGGAAAAATAAAGCAATAGCCATCAGGGAAAAGACTGGTAATCTGGAAAACACTTCAGATAGAATCATTAATTTATTGAAACACACCATTCAGAGAGTACAAAATAAGCCAGAGTGAGAGAAGATATTTGTGATATGTATCACTGACTCTTCTACTGAATATAAAAAGAAATAAATATGCAAACTAACAGAGAAAAGACAGGGGACCCAACAGAAAATGGGCAAGACACAAACAAATATGTCCTAAGAGGATATCTTGTTAGTGACCTAATATTTTGAATCACTTTTACCAAATCTCAGCATTTAAAAACTTTGGCTTTTTGCTATTAAAATGTCTACAGAATGTTCTAACTCTTTGTCTAACTTATAAAATGTTCTAACTCCTTGTCTAACTCTCTGCGACTCCATCAGAACTAATGAACACATAACATTATTGTTATTTTTTAAATAATAAATGATTACTATGAAAGGGAAATTAATTGACCTGACACTAAACATTACTTCTCTGACTTTCCCCTCAGGGTTGTTGTTTGTAGTGGAATCTAAAGGTACCTGTGGCTGATTCTTTCAGGAAATCTCTTTCAACGTCATTACTATCAATGATAATACCCTTGGGGATATTACTATGGAGAAACTCTTGTGGCATCATGATCTCTTTATCTAATAAGTAGGATACTAGTCAGTCAGACAATGTGCTGGGAGCCGCACCAGCCTCTCTGGATGGCAGTCACAGCAAAGAGCAGCAATATTTGCGCAGCTCCTGCCATGGGGAGTGAAGGCTGATATCTCTTTCTGCCACTGCTGGCTCATGTTGGAAATATCTATACACAACTTAAACCTATATGTTATCTTGTTTCTCAGTAAGAGCACCCTGTTATTTTCTTGGTCGTGGCTTATCTATATGCAACTTAAACTATATCTTGTTTCTCAGTGAGGGCATCCTGTTAGCCTATCTGTATACAACTTAGCATATGTGTTATCCTGTTTTCCACTAAAAGCATTCTATTATAAGTTCACTATGATTGGAATAATTTGGCAATTGTTATCGCAAAAGACCTTCTGTTGTAAAGAAACGCCTTTCGTTGACCTCATATTGTGGTTGAACCTTTAAATAAAGACACCAAAACCAACAGGTCAGAGATGCCTGCCTGGTGATCAGAAAGAATCTCGGGGCTCTCTCACTCTCTCTCTTGCCGACACCGTCCATCCTTCAGGGACCCCTGGACCTGCCGGAATCGGCCTTCGACAACAATGCTCAATGGAAATGAAGGAGCATATAAAACACTTTTAAGAACTGAGTGAG